CCACCTACTCATACATAATTTCCCTGGTGGTTACTCTGAAGGTGTTGTCTTCCTTTGGAGAAAAAGGAGGTAACTGCATTTGAAGCAAGACAGTGGAGTGAATGGGTATTCGAGTTCTCCAGCCAGAGGGTCCTGCAGTGTAGGAGCTGATCCAGCTCTTGCAGTATCCCAGCTTTCCCCACCATTATCCGTGGTGTCATATGCATAGAAGCTAAATAGAAGTTATAGTTGTCAAATGCGTAAAATACCTAACACATAACAAGGGTAGTGGTGGTAGGGAGTCTTATAGTGCACGTCCTCAAGTCCTTTGTTTAAAAGTGCACACGCTATCATTATCATAACCACTGGGCAAACATATTGCATTGGCTGGGTTGTCATTAGGGTGTCAAACTTTGAACTCCCCTCGTCCAGGCACCTCAGTCATTAATAGACCAGGCATCCTTGTCTTAAACCTGTAATGCCCACTCTTGTCTTTTTCAAGACACTGCTTGCCAAGAATTTGGGATAGCTAAGAGTTTTAAATACGTATTTACAGACAAAAGAGCAAGTTTGCAGCTTTGTTTTAAATTACAGGGACAATCTCCATTTTAACTAAGTGTGCCATTAAAGTTGTCCTAAAAATTAATGGAAGAGAGGATAAGTCACTAAACTGTTCAGTCTGTAATGTGTGATGCTGTGGACTGTGGTATTTTGAGAGGAATTTCCAGTGCTAGCTGGACTGAGAGAATCACAGTCTAATCACAGGGGGTTTCTTCTGTACTTTAAGGTGCAAAAGGGGATTTGCTGTGGCCCTTCCTATTTTTCCAAATTCTTTTTGAGATTAGTTGCTCCCATGGGATAGCACATCAGTAAAAATCACTATGCTCCCAAAACAGATAGGAATTGGTTTTCAGAGGCTTTCCCAGACAAGGGAATCTTTATTCCACCCATACATGCCTTCGGAGTAGTTGCAGCTCTCCACGAGCAGCCCCTGCTTCACTGGGAACAGCGATAAATACATATATACAGCAGAGCTCCTGTTCCAGGCCATGCCTTGGGGCAGCCCAAACTTCACCTTGACACAGACTGATGCTTTTGCTTCAGAAGTGATTGAAAGCCCTCGGCAGAAACCCAGCCACATTACCATTGTAGGAACACACGAATGAGTTGCTGAGGGAAGCAATTTACTGCCAGCCAATTCCTCTAGAGCTACTGTCCATTTGCGGGCTCCTACCCTGCAGCTCCTAAGATATAGCTGGCCATCTTCTGCAGAGGAATAATGACTCGAGGAGAGGTGGTAGGGAGCACTGCAGCTCAGAGGGACAACTGGGAGTCACAGATCCCATCCTTGTGCCTCATTTCTTTTGAAGGACAGAGCATTAATGAGGTGCTGCCCTGAAACACGAAAGGAAGCTGAAAAGAGACGGAAAATGAGCTTTCACTCAACATGAAATTAAGACGTCGAAGAACAGAATTAATCAAGATACCAACGAAAGTGAGGAGAAGAAATCTGTAATCATCTATACATCAACATTAGAAGCCTGCATAATAAACAAGAGGAGTTGAATTGCTCATTTAGGAGCATATTTTGACCTAATTGATATCACTGAAACCTGCTGGGAAGATCTGATTGATTGGAATATTAAAATTAATGGCTATAACCTATTTAGGAACAATCAAATGTGGGGGAGAAAGGAGAAGGGAGGGACAATCTGTCAAGGGATGCATTGCCTATTTAGAGACATTTGCACCAGAGAAACTTGTACTCTCAAATATTAATGGATTAACTTATTTTAACAGCACACAAGTGGAGTACTGAAAATGTCTGCTATCAATTCAGGCTGAAAAACAGTATTATCTATTCTGTATGGGTGGGAAAAGCTGCATTTTCTTCAAGGACTTCGGTCTAAATTATATGCAGTGTCTCATGCTGTTAGTACTAAAAACATCATGCAGCTAGTAATGAAAGAAGCTTCTAAAAATTATAGATGACTGTCGCCTAACTTGGAAATGTTGCATCAATACCCATTCATCTGTATTATACCTCATCTTGACAGGTGTAAATTATTAGTACCTGAGGTGCAGGTGTTCTTGACTTGCACATATTCATTATATATAAACAAAATAAAGTACAGATAAATAATTTTATATACATGAGGTCCAGCAAGTTCTGATCAAGAAAAAAAGGCCACACTTTTTCTAAAGCAAACCTAATTTACAAAGGTAGAGAAAGCAATTTTAGGGGGGGAGGAAAGGAGAGAGAGAGAAATTCACACTGAATAACATATAGAAACAATGAACAAGTAGTTGTGGACTACTGTTTATGAAAATGAAAAGGTGCCGGGGCATTCACAGGGAGCAGAACTAAAGCCGGTGAGGAAAGGTGTGCATGTGCGCCTATGTGTTGCGTCTTTAGCTCCATTACAAAATTGAAATGCTAATAGTGCAGCGAAAGTGCTCTGTAAAGCATTCTGGTTGTATTTGTAGTCAAGTCAGATAATATATATAGAATATCATGAAATATTTTCCATGCTAGCAGTACTGCAGAAGGATATTAAGCACCAAATGTTGAAGACAGGTGTTTTGTAACCAGCAGGTCTGGCTGATTTGCACCTGAAAGCTTTAAAAATGGGTGGTAAAGAATTCTCTGGGCTGACAATGACTTTTTTTGTCTCTTTTTATTCAGTAGAACAATGAGAAATAATGCACAAATATTTTGAGAAAAGATAAATGTGATGATCGGGCAAGCTACAGCCTCTCATTCTGGCATCCGTCAGAAGCAAAGCAGTGGAATAGAAGGTGGAAGAATCAACTGAGTACAGAATTAAGGGAGGGGAAAATATTTAATGCCAGTCATCATGGGTTCATGGAAAATCTTTACTGACAAATTTACCTTTTTTTTTAACTTATTTTTCCAAGAAAGGCGTTTGTACAACAAAACATTTTATGTAAGCGTACCACCTCAAAACCATAACCTTTTTCAGTCAAAGGCAATCTCTCATACAAGTCTAAGTAGGTAGAGGGCAACAACATCCACGCAGTGCACATCTAATGTGCAAAAATATTGTCAGTCAATGGATCATTAAATATTAAGGAATCGTTACAAAATGAGTGTATTTCTAGGGACTGTTCTTGGCCTCGTGATCCCTTCCACTGGTGACCTGGGAGCAAATCAGTCAGTACTGATCGGGTCTGGACGACAGAGGAGAGGTCACTGAGCTAATCGTATGCACAAGCAAGCAGGATTTTAATGTCTGAGGACAGAGTTACATGCAGCGAGTCCAGGATCTAGGCGATTTTCCCTGGATGTCAGCCCCTCTCCTACAGACTGATGACCCTGAAAATGACTCATTGGGGAATAAGGTGGATAATAAAGTGAATGTGAATAATAATGGTCAGTGCGGAAAAACGGTCAAAAATTAATATGATTGTTGGATGTTTTAACTGAAAAACATCATAGACAGTGTTTGGCTTTGATGACAACTCTTCTGGAGCACTGTGTCCAGCGCTTGCACCTGTAACTCCGGAGGATGTTAACATGCTGGGAAGGGTGTCGAGGGTCATAAGAACAGCAAAAGAAGTGGAAACACCATGAATGAAAGCGATGAGCAGTGCCATTTGTTTAACTTATTGAAACTGTAGGGGGTCATTTATTGGCATGGAAAAGTGAAATCTGACACTAAAGGACACTTTAGGATGCCAAACACAGGCACAGGAACGTGGTATCTAGAAAGAAGGAAAAATCAAATAAGACGGACATTTGTAAAAATAAAAGCAAATGACCTCTACTGCAACTTAATGAGAGTGATAGAATTTCTGCAGTGGGAGTTTTGTAATAAAGTTTGATATGTATTAATCTTTGAAAAATGCACACCATGCTTTAGCCACAAGTTAATTTGAGAGGCTCACCTAACCTATTCTCCATGTAAGCCCAGACCCACAGGTAGGAGGGAGAGATTCCCTTCAGCCAAGTTCCAGGAAAATTAGGAAGGACTCTTGTGGATTTGTTTTTCCTAGTTACATTTAAAGAATGTAAATGCAGCTTTTTAAATTGGTGGTGTTTGATTAGCTGTTGCTACAGCACATGAAACTGCTATGAGAAAGAGAATCACTTTGATCTCTGTCCGTCCGACAGCCCTGTGTAGTCAGCCTTACACCACCATGACGCTGCAATATGTTAAATGGTTTTCGACTCTCTCTGCACGTTTCTGTGGTGGTTTTCCTGCTTTTCAAATGTCTATCTATCCTTTATGATTTGTTAAAATAAAAAATAGGAGTGGCTAATGGTAGTGAAAAAATAAGAGTATAGTTATATTTCTCTTTTACTTGGTGAAGAGTTTTGGTGTCCATGTCACAGTAAGATTGGTGCAGATGTTTTTTAGAATCAGAATATTTGAGATATTAATTTTACTTTTTAGGGGACATAGTGTTTCTACAGTTTCTTGTTAAGATGACTTTTTTCTTTTAGTCTTGTACAACTAATCAGAGTAATCTGAAAATATAGCACAGCATATATGAGATATGAGCATAGTCTAATCCCATTATTGGAAAGAGAAAGGGGGAAAAATGCAAGCAGTAACCTTGCATAAGGATATCTGTAATTAAAGCCTGTCAAAGAAAATAGCATTCAAATCCCTACCACCTAATATTGAAGGACATTAAAAGGCACAGAGTTTACACGTTATCTGTGCCAATTAAGATTAAATGTGACTGGGACACATGTCAACGTCGGTTGTGTGTCTGTTGGGGTGAGAATAAATACAAATCACTGAAAGAAGAATGAAGAAAGAGTCAATCAATGAAGCATTAGTGTTTTCAGGGATGCTTTCTTGTCACTGGTACAGTTCTACCAACCTCCATTTGCCTGATTTTGAAAAAGGGAACACTATTAATGTTAATAGCTTCAGTATATGATAACTTCATGTTGACGATATACCTGAAGGCAAATGGATTTAGGTAAGCAAAATCAGAGCTTAATAAGAAAGTCATGCTTTCTGTTAACAATACCTTATTTTTTTTAGAGTATGAAGGATCTGGGACAGAAGTTCAGAGAAAACACTCAAAATGTGGAGTGTGCAAATATAGGGCTGAGTGTGATGAAGATGCAGAAAATGTTGGGTAAGTAATAAGTTTTCCTTAACAATATCAGCGAACAAAAAGGGGAAAAAAATAAAAGAAAAAAAGAAAAAGTACATGATCATCTGCTTGACTATGTGGTCCTATTAATTGAAGCTTTAATGCTGTCCAATAATAATGTGTTTGATATGTGTCTGTAAAGAACAAACCATCTGCAGTTGCAAGCTAAAGGGAAAAAACAACAAAGAGGTATATTGGAGAATCTTTATAAAATATTTTTCAAACAAAGGACCTCGATTTGTTTTATCTTGGCAACAAAAAAAAACAGGAATGCAAAATAAATACTGATAATTCACCTCTGAGATTTTTTTCCCTCTATGTTCTGCTTGTTCATAAAGTATTATAGGCAGTTGTTTCCATCAGTGCAAAGCTTGGATCTAAACATGAAGTTGAAGTGGGGACCTGAGCTAGTCACTTCTTCCAAACTCACTGTGCCACTTGACCTCCTGCATGCACCCGGGGGAAAACTGATGAAAAATACCAGTTGCTTGTCAGAGCTCAAAACGACTGATGCGCCAAATTTCCCTACTCAAGATGCTTGATGGTTAAGAGTATACCCTGGCTGTCCAGGCTCTCTGTAGGTGGCTGTCAGAAGGGGCAGAGACATCATGGAGGAAAGGGCTCTTTCAGTCAGCCCTGTAAGGCATTAAGGTTTGTTGGGAGGTAAAAGAAGTCCCATCTAGTTGGTGGGGCTTTGTTTTTCCACAGCCGTTGTCCTGGCAGTGGCCACCAGTACGGAAGAAACTTAAGTAGGGTCTGGGCTGATGGCCAGTACTGGGGTCACAGCTGCAGACGCAGCGCGTGAAGGTGTTCGAGAGACGTGCTAATGGTACATTTTTGTGTACATGGAGGGAACAGCATGTCAGAATAACAGTGCCCGAACATCGCTAATCGGGGGAAGCATCGCTCTCCCTTCTCCTGTCTTCCAGCTGGAATCCACTTCATGTTGAAATATGTCTTAATTGCACAAGATTTTATTATGGGATATCAGCATGAAGACCTCTCAGGCAGTAAAGCAGCTTAGCACTAATACTCCAGATGTGTATTCAAGATTAAATCATAGCATACAAGGGAAACCAAAATGGTAATAGTACTCGTGAATACTAGCATGATACTTCACATTTCATAAAATGTCACGGTACCAAAGTAGGCTTGCTCTTTTGTGAAGAGGCAAATGAGCTGTAGCTGGTTTTTTATAATACTAATAATTTTCTGCAATATTGACTGTTTCATTTATGACTGGCAAGATGGATATAGATTTGTTTGTTATATGAACTGAGATGTGTTCTTGGCTTTGGAAAATAAATCCTGAAGCATTCAACTTCAGTAAAATCTTGCCTGGTCATTCTATTCCTGTGGCTATGTAGTATCTATAGTTAGGATAAAGTTGAGGAGAGTGGAAGATTTATGCCCTACATCCTACTCATACAAAATGAAGCCATGCTCCCTCTTCTTGACAACAGGAGGAGAGTCCTCTTTTGCCTCTAAGGTTTCTTTAATTAGTCCTTATTAAAAAAAAATGTGGAAGCAAAAATTTTTATGTAGAAAATACTCAAAAGTTAGAAAATATTCCCATGAGGGTTGGTCACAATCTATCAGATCATTTTTTAAATTTTGTCAGTTTTCCAACCTAAATAATTTATTTTTTTTTTTTTTTGCCCAGTACTTTTGACCATTATAATAGGCTTTAGTGATATTCACTGTCTGGTTAGACTTAGATTAAATTGAGCTCTGTTAACATAGATTGCCTTCACAAGGTTAATTTTGACAAATTAGAAAGTCACATAGAAAGTGACAGACTTCGTTAAGTAGAAGTTAGCAGTTGGCTTCTTTTTTTCCTAAAATCAAAACAGTTATTTACTTGGCAGAAACAAGATGGGATTGAAATCTTCTGTTTGGGAAACTCTAGTAGAGCCCATAAGAATGCTTTTTACATCTTATTTTTACTGCCTTTCCTGTTGGGTTTCAACATGTTATTTAACCTCATAAAATTATATCATGATATATGAAATTATTGGCAGCACAAGTACCTCTCATCAGACTTGTATAAACACTGCATTTTGGCATTTCCTGATTTTTGGAGCTGGACTTGCTGATGTCTAAGCAAGTCCGTCCTTCTCGGAGGTGCACAGTGATAGCATGAGGGGCAACAGGTGCGTGTCGGAGCATGGGAAATTCTGATTTGACATAATGAAAAATGTTTCCACCATGAGGGTAGGAGGACACTGGAACAACGTGTCTGCTGAGGCAGTGGAGTTTCCATCTGTGGAGGCAGTCTGAACTTGATCAGACACAGCCCTGGGCCAGCTTTGAGCAGGGGCTTGGACTAGATGACCTCTACACATTCCTTCAAGCCTAAATTTTCTGTGATTCTGTGTAGTTACCAAATCTTGGTGCTTTTTAAAAGCAAATTTAAACAAGTTCAGTTGTACACAGCTGAGATGCACTCCATACTACAAGTTAGTGATTTTAATTTTTTGTTGCTCTTAAATTGTATTTTCCCCTTTGAAAAAGTTACGAATTTTTAGTTTCCATGCTTGGCATTGAAGCGTTACGGCTGTGTCTGATCAAAGTTGCTACATATGCTTTTATTACACAAGATCACACATAGTCTGAAGAATTCAGGCTTTGCACAGAGTTTTAGATTTGTATCTTCATTTTGTTTGATTTCTAGGAAACATTATCTATCTAAACCAGAAGTGGTTACAATGCATAGTAAATTGAATGCAAAAATATAAACAACTTTATAATTTCCACTGCCTCTGCAAAAATTTTCGATTTTAAGTGGCCTGATTGAGACAAAGAAATAAAGTCTGAGGAGGTGGTTGTCATAAACAGCATGCCATACTTAGAAAATTAATGTTCAACTGTATGCAAAACAGTACGTTATTTCTTTATATAAATGCAAAAAGGAATCAGGTTGAGGAAACATCACAGAAATTTCTTCTTTTTTTTTTTTTTCATACAACTTTTAAGTTTTTTTAAGAGTTGTTAGTTTATGGACAGGCTTTTCAAGAGCATAGAAAATCACTTGTGGATGCAGTAGTCTAAAGTGGCATAAAGGCATACTACGCCATATTGTCCACAGAGTGGTTTTCTACAGGTCTGTGGTGACAGGATGCAGGCAACAGGTTTCACATGGATCAGCTGTGATTTTTTTCCCCCTTTAGCAACAAAACTGAAACATAGATTGTATATATCATGGGAAAAGCTGCTGCCTGAGACCAATCAGTCAGTACCTCCCTTTCTACCCTGCCCATCAAAATGTGTCTCTCTGGCCAGAACCTTCCTCCACCGTGTTGAAATGGCAACGTATTAGGCATAATGGTGCAAAACATGTAGCAGGGGAGTGAAAAAGGACATGTGAGGTTGGTAAATTTAAACTTTTTGTGTGGGAAACTGGAATCCTAAAGACATGGGAGTATGAGGATGGTGTGTGTTTTCTGCTGGAATTTTGAACTGGAAATGAAGTCAGGTTGAGAAGTGGAGATGGAGGTGGCAGCACAAAGCTTGGAGCCACCTAGAGCTGATGGGGTAAATCCTGTAGAGCACCAACCCAAACCCATGGGTTTGCTGTTGATATACTTTGGGGTAACCAGACTGCAGTTTTTTCGTAGTATACACTGGACTTTTCAGTTATACTAATTGTTCATGTGATAGAGATAAACAGATCATTCTATCAGTACACAATCAGAAGATGGTATACCGATAGTATTGAAATAATACAGTATGAATGCAAAAGAAATGAAACCAGATGTGCTTTTAAAATAATTTTCATCACTGTAGCACTTAAACCATCTCTTTCTTCAATGAAAGCAATGTATATAAATATTTGTAATACTGTGTCTGTTAAGGACTCCAAGTGATTTTTTTTTTTAAAACACAGATAAATAATGTTCAATGTAATTTTTATAAAGCTTCTAAACAATATGATGCCTTAGTTTACTGCGTATGATTGAAACAGAAATTATTATTTACAGTCCTTTGAGAGCTGAATAACTTTTTTTTCTTTTTTCTACAATAGCCATCTGCAACACTGGCAAAGACACTGATAACATAAACTTACTTGTGGTTTGGGGTTTTTTTATGCTGTGATCAGAAAGGTGGGCTCTTAAGTATATACGTTTCTCCATAAGACTTCAATTTTCAAATGGTCTCAATTTCCCTATGTTTTTTTAAGGCTTCTTACTATTATCTGGTCATTTTTTCCACAAGTTTCTTCTTACACATACCGAAATTGATGCTCAGAGTAAGGGAGAACATTTTAATACTTATACATTAAATATAAATGTTATATTTATAGTGAATAATATATATTTATACTATTTTACTACTAACATTTAAAATAAACTGAATTAATTGTAGAATAGGGGTTTCATCTCACATTTTTTCTTCAAATGTGAAGTATCTTTCCAACATAAAAGGTTGTACTTCTTATGAGGAGTTATATCCCCTGCTTTTGGACTGTTTTGTGTGGTGTGTCTCTTGCCTCTGGCATACCGAAGTACTGCTAGATACCTGAATAAAGCAAAATGCCAACATCTAGTAAGTATCGGAAGGAATGTTGCTTTAAAAGGCAATTTAAAGTACGTTGTAACTTCAGGAAAATAATATCCAGAATGAAATTGTGAACTGTAGAATAATTTAGGTTGGAAGGGGTCTCTAGGGGGTCGTCTGGTGCAGGCTCCCTCCCTGCACTGTAGCCAGGGCTACATCATTCAGGTGGCTCAGGGTCTTCTCCAGGAGAGCTCTAAACATCTCCATGAAGGGAGATTCGACATCTGGGCATCTGTTCAAGGGCTGAACTGCTCTCACTTTGAGGAATAATTTCCTTGTGTTTGGTCAGAATTTCTCTTGCCACAACTTGTGACTGTTGTCTTTTGCCCCTCTACTGTGCACCTCTGGGAAGAGCTTCCCTCTGTCTTCTCGATAGCCCCTCTTAGGTAGTTGGTGACAGCAATCAGTTACCTCCCTATATACTT